GTGAGTGGCAGGAACCACGGGACTGACTACCGCACCAGACAGCAGCAGCAGTGTGAGTGGCAGGAACCATGGGACTGACTTGCCAACCCACCGAGAGAGAGAGCTGACTGCCTTCGGGCAGGAGGCTTGCTGGCACAGCAGGGTGCCTCTGGCCACTTGGAGGTGGAGCCAAAAGAGCAGTACTACTTGCCCAAGTGGCAGATAGGTCTGGCAAAGCCCAGAGGGGCCCATCGGCAGAGCCAACAGCAACAGCAGAAAGCTACTACTAGGAGGACAGCAACCAAGCGGGCTGCTATACCGGCCATGAGTTGTGCCCGTTAGCAGCACAGAGGCCAATGGCAGGCAGAGAAGGGCACATGCACAGCCAAGAGAAGGGTCTGCCCCCGGGGATAGCCAAAAAGAAGCTGAGAGCTGTCCTGATTGTAAGCGATCCTGATTAACAAAGTTAAATCTTGTTTCCTGGGTTGTATCCTCTTACTTCCAAGTTGATCCTGATCAGAGTTGTAGCCTGTTACTTCCATAATAAGCCACACATCTGTGAGTATAATCTGTGAGTTGTGTGGCCATTGCAAGGAATTATCAAACCCAACAGAGAAGTAGAGAGTTCATGGAGGGGAAGTAGGGGGGAGCCGCTGGGGTCAGAAATGGTGAAAAATTGGAGGTATGTCTACCTCAACCTCACAGGAGCCGGCTTTGTGCTGATCCTGATTCTCTCAGGAATTTAGGTGAGTACAAACATTAGATTACAGTGTGTGTGTAATCTTTAGTCTCAGATAAAAAAAAGCAGCATAGAAAGGAAAGGCAACATTTTGTGTGGTAAAAATTGCATAACAAATCTGATTTTATAAGATAATGTATTAAGAACATTTACAGGAATATCCATCTTGTTTTCCTGTGCAATATGAGAATTTGTGTGATGCTTCAAAACTATTTCAAACTGTATGATTTATTGTAGCATAATAAGTCACTTCAAAACTTGGTAGCTTAACACAACAACTATCATTTTATTATTATTTCTCACAGTTTTTGGAATTGACTGGGCTCAACTAGGGACTTCTCGCTTGGAGTCTCCCATGCAGTTACAGTCAGACAGTGGCTGGGACTGGAGTCATTGAAAGACTTCCTCACTCAAATCTCTGGTAATTGATGTCACTCGTCATCCAGAACACCTACATATGACCTCTCCATTTGGCCTTCCTTGAAGCATGGTGTCTGGATTCCAAGAAGAAGCATCCCAAGTGTGGTGTAGTGAATTACTTTGTGTGGCCCTTCTAGTCATGATCTTGTGGCTCCCACTGGATGATTAGGTGGGAGTATGCAAATAAGGTGCTTGTGGCCCACCAAGGGGATCGGACTGCCTACTAATAATGCAAATAATGTGCATGGAACCCTTGTAGGGGATTGGTCAGTTATGCTATTCTGCTAGGCTTAAAGGGAGGCAATTCCAGATGCACAGGGGGACCTCACTACTAACAAGAAGAAGAGTCAGAAGTGAAGCAAGTCCTTTGGACCCAGGGTCCCTCTGCTGAGAACCTACTAGACCCGGGAGACAGCATGAGACATCGAGAAGTAGGGGCAGAGTCCCGCGGCAGAGAAACAGCAGCAGCAGAACCAGGAGACTGGTGCGAGATGGCACAGTGGGCTTCCTGACCCACTGAGCAAGGTGGCTACAACGGGCATGCCGACTCACAGAGCAAGAGGACTGAGTGCTTTCAGGCAGGAGGCTTCCTGGCAGAGTGGGGTGCCTTCAGGCACTTACTGGATTAGCTAAATAACTTTGTAACACTTGCCCAAGCAGGACAGAGGCCAGGCTGAGAGCTAAGGCCTGAGAAAGAAGGCCTGTCCTGAGGGAGCCAAAATGATCCTGTCCTTAGGGGGCCAAGAGGAGACCTGCATGGCTGAGAAGGGCCTGCTTGCTTGCACAGCCTAGAGGAGCTGACAGAGCTGTCCTGCACTGAAGACGGGAGACTTTGTCTACGCGCTTCCTGATCCTGATCCTGAGTTGTAACCTGTTACTTCCTTAATAAACCACTTAACTGTAAGTATGTTCTGTGAGTTCTGTGTGGCCATTGGAACAAATTATCAAACCCACCAGAGAAGTAGAGAGTGCCATGGGAGGGACAGCTGGTATCAGAATTGGTAAAATAGTTGGAGAGTGGAGGTATGTCTGACCTCCACCTTATGGGAATCAGCCTTGGGCTGATGCTGCTGATGTTGATTCACCTCCCCTCTCCTGCAGTTAGACGAGGAGGTCTGATGCCATGCCATTTTTATACCAAGACAACCAGGTGAAATTTGTGTCACCTTTGCAACTTCAGAAGTTCACATAGTCACATAGTGTCACTTCCTCCATAGGCACAGATTCAAGTCGATGATGTTCCAAGTCGATGCAAGGAGTGTCAATGTCACATGGTAAGAAGAGCACACAGGATGGAAGATCATTCACCACCTTGGAAAATTCCATTGGCCATACAACTTGTTCTGTTCTCTATTAATAAATATAATGTGAACAAATAGCTCTTTTAAGACTTTGTAAATTTTAAAAATTCTTGCCTAGTCCTGTGAAAGGAATTGTGCTAGGTGTTTTCTTTTTTCTCTTTTAGAACTACTCTCCACCAGTCTCCACCCTATTCTGTGCTCCCAAGGACTGGCATGTATGGATTGTGTCAATAAGCTCCCTTGCCCTCTTCTTGTTGGGTTCTGCCAATGGGTGGCACCTACAGATCTAAAGTCCAGAAGAAATGAGGTCAGGCTATTTATTACCTGGCTAGATAACAGGCTGGCTGCGTTTCTTTAGTCACAGTTTCTGTCTGAAGGCCTTCTCCTATCAATGTACTCTGGGTTCCCATAGCTGCTGCCTCCCCTTGCCTTTTTAAATCTAGGGGTAGCAGTGGTTTCCCACTGGTGCTTCACTATCTTTTGTTGGTTTCTCTTAACCCAGTCCACACTTTAAATAGATGCTTTATCAAAATCTCCTTAACTACCTCGATTAAGTATGTAGGACCCTGACTGATACAATAATCTTTAAAAGCTATAATTATGATTAGTGGTCTTACTGAAAATAATTTTTGTAATAGAAATTTCTGTATTCCTAAAGAATACAATATTTGTAGGATTTCTCTATCAAATCATATTATAGAAAAAAATAAAAGCCTATGACTCTGCTAGATTTGCTATCAAGAAATTTGTCCCGTTTAAATTAACTATATCAAACAAGCAATTCCACACTTAATTACATTTACGTAAGTGTTGCAAAGAAGGATTATAAGTATGAAGGGCTGTTACAGGGGAAATTGATCTTTTGGGGGTGATGGAGGGTAGGGCTTCCCTGAAAAGAGACATTTAAGAAGATCTGAGGTAGGAGGGGGATAAATCTGACTTCAACTGGGAAAAGTCAACAATTACTCAGCATTTCTATGGGCCAAGCACTGGTCACAAATGTTGTTAGGTGCCAGCGAGTCAGTTCTGACTCATAGCGACCCCATCCATGTACAACAGAACAAAACACTGCCCAGTCCTGCACCATCCTCACAATCATTGCTATGTTTGAGCCCTTAGTTGCAGCCACTGTGTCAATCCATCTTGTTAAGCGTCTTCGTCTTTTTCATTGACCTTCTACTTTACCAAGCATGATGTCCTTCTCCAGGAACTGATCCCTCCTGGTAACATGTCCAGAGTACATGAGATGAAGTCTCATCATCCTTGCTTCTAAGGAGCATTCTGGCTGTACTTCTTCCAAGACTTGTACATTCTTCTGGCAGTCTGTGGTATATTCAATATTCTTTGCCAACACCATAATTCAATGGCATCATTTCTTTAGTCTTCCTTATTCACTGTCCAGTTTTCGCATGCATATGAGGCGATTGAAAACACCATAGCTTGTGTCAGGCACACCTTAGTCTTCAAGGTGACATCTTTGTTTTTTAACACTTTTAAGAGCTCTTTTGCAGCAGATTTACCCAACACGATGCATCTTTTAATTTCTTGACTACTGCTTCCATGGGTGTTGATTGTGGATCCAAGTAAAATGAAATCCTTGACAACTTCAATCTTTCCTCCATTTATCATGATGTTGCTTATTGGTCCAGTTGTGAGGATTTTGGTTTTCTTTATGTTGAGGTGTAATCCATACTGAAGGCTGTGGTCTTTGATCTTCATCAGTAAGTGCTTCAAGTCCTCTTCACTTTTAGCAAGCAAGGTTGTGTCATCTGCATATCACAGGTTTTAATCCTGATGCCTCGTTCTTCTTCATATAATCCAGTACATACTTTACATATATTAACTAATATATGTCACAAATATGTTACATGTATTAACTAATTTGTCCTCAAATCATCATATGACATGGATGTTACTTTATTATTATTTTTTTCATAAGTGATGAGCCAAAGAATAAACCAAAACCAAATCCGTTGCTGTTGAGTCTATTTCAACTCACGGTGACCTCAAGTGTTATAGATTAGAACTGCTCCATAGGATTTTCTTGGCTGTAATCCGCAGTGTCGCTGGGTGGGTTGGAACCACTAACCCTTAGGTTAGTAGTCAAGCACAAAACACAAACTGTTTGCGCTACTCAGGAACCTAAGGAGCCAAAGAATATACGAATTACATAACCCCAGAATGATTATACAGTTCATTATTGAACAAATAGGTGAATAAACGGACAATGATGTTTCATGAAGAAATGTGAAGTCAAAGCCTCAAATTAATCCAAGAAATCTTTGTGTATCATGCAGATGCTTGAGGAGAGATCCCAAATGCCCCAAGTCAATCTGTTTGTTCATTCATTCATTCAACAGCATGAAACTAACTCATACTCTGTGCCTGGTGCAGTTCGGGGCGCAGAGAATAAGTTACAAATAATATAGGAACAGACTTTCTTCTTAGGATGTTTACGTTGTGCCGAGGGGTGGGAGGAGGGGATTGGGGGAGAGTCAATAAACTGCTATGCAGAGAATTAAAATAGGATGTGACGGCAACTGTGGGCCTAATTTGGATTGGGTAAGGAGAAATCTGAATTACAAGAATGCGCTTTGTGCTGCATTCTCACATATTTGGTGGTTTCCTCCCTTATCCCTCTTCCTCGAATTTCCTTTTACGATCCCCACACAGGAGGTAAACATCCCACCGTCCCACGCTTTTCTGCTGTGTCAATTGCACATCCCTACGGTTCGCTACTCAATGAGGCTGCGCCTAGGCCTGTATCCAATCGGATACAGCCTAGGGCTCCTCGGGGCGGGGATTGGTTCCTCAGCTCTTGCGAGTTTCCCTTAACTGCAGCGACCCGACAACCGGAAGTGAGCCAGAGAGTCGACAAAGTTATTTGTTGTTGCCCGAAATCTGGAGAATAAAGCTCTACTGTGTGATGGCTGCTGAGAAGGTAGGTGACAGGGCCTTGCCCAAGCGTAGGTATTATTGTTGTTAGGTGCCGTTGAGTGGATTCCGACTCACAGCGACCCTATGTACAACAGAACGAAACACTGCCCGGTCCTGTGCCATCCTCATAATCGTTGCTGTGTTTGAGACCATTGTTGAAGCCACTGTGTCAATCCATTTTGTCGAGGGTCTTCCTCTCTTTCTCTGACCCTGTGCTTTACCTAGCATGATGTCCTTCTCCAGGGACTGGTCCCTCGTGATAACATGTCCAAAGTATGTGAGACGAAGTGTCGCCATCCTTGCCTCTAAGGAACAAATCGCTCTTGGAAAAAATACAGCCAGAATGCTCCTTAGAGGCAAGGACAGGGGTAGGGGGCATTTACGGATAGAAGTCAGGTCAAGACGTGGAGGTGATGCCTGGATGCTGGGGCAGGGAGACAAAGACACTGTGGGGTCAGAGGTGGAGGCCCCAGACCCGGTCACTAGAAGCTGAGCCGGCCCCCTCTGAAAATCTGCCCTCATCACTGCAGGTGCCGGTGAACAGCGTGGAAGAAGAGCAACCCCTCTCCGGCGGCCGAGTAGCTGGCTGCTCAGAAACGCGAACAGAGACTGCACAAATGCCAGGAGCTGCACCTGAAGCGGGTGAGTAGTCCCGGAGGCCAACTCAGACCTCTCAGTTGGCCAGGCCCATGCGGCGTTCACAGAGGGACGAGGAAGCTGAACCAGTCGGCCTTACAGACGGTAGGGCTGAATTATCTTCCAAGATGAAACATCTAGCCCGGTGATTCTCAACCTTGGCAGCACGTTGGAATCGTTTTGAGAACTTTTTCAGAAATACACATGCTCAGGCTTCATTTCTGTAGTGTCTGATGTCGCTGACTCATAATTGACTAGTTTGAAGAATGGTCCCATTCACCATATTTCTTTTGGATTAGGCAGAGGTAACAGAGTATACATGAAAATTCTGTGTCAAAGTGGTGTGACATACTAAAACCGTTGCCATTGAGTTGATTCATAGCAGCCCTATACGACAAAGTAGAACTGCCCCATAGGGTTTCCAAGGCTATCATCTTCACAGTTTATGGAAGCAGACTGCCACATCTTTCTCCTGCAGAGTGGCTGGTGGGTTCAAACCACCAACCCCTCAGTTAGCAGCTGAGCACTTAACCACTGTGCCACCAGTAACATATTTACTGCCCTCATATTTCAGTATGAATCTGAGTTATTTCCCAATCCTCAATCCAGATCATCTGACAGTACTAACTTATAAATTAAAATGAAAGTCAACAAAGTTCATTAAACAGGTTTCTTTGTAGAATGTTTTTCTTAAGGTATTGCTTCCAAAAAGGAAGGCAGCTTTTATTTCCGTATTGTTAGAGACACCCTTATAATGATGATGCAGATATTGACTACATTAATGAAAGGAAAGCCAAATTCAACAAGAAGGCAGAAAGATTCTATGGGAAATATACAGCTGAAATTAAACAAAACTTGGAAAGAGAACAGCTGTCTAATCTCCTTCAGGAACTGTTTTGATGTGCAGGGAGAGGTAAAACCAGGGTAGTGAAGTGTCACTGCCAAATTATGCCAAAAAACCTGGACTCTCTATGTATGCCTTTCTAATATGTAAAGAAGTATTCTAAGTTTCTATGAATGTCTGTGTATTGTCATGCTTATATATATGTACTTGTTTTAAATAAATCTGCCTTGAATTTGTTTAAAGCGTGTATTTAATGTATGAAGCCGCTAATCTTAAATATTAGCTACACACGTTGAGTCATCATTGTCCTGAAATTTGTCATATATTTCACTTGACCTATTTAACTTGGGAGCATTCAGAGGTAGGACGCTAAATTGATAATTTTTCTTGCAAGAAGGTGGCAGTAGCTACCTTTCCCCAGAAGTCACAATTACATATGCTTGCCTGTCCCATGCTCTGCCCCACGCCCCAGGTACATTTATCTGCTGACTGCTGAGGCAAGCATGTGAGGTAGGAGACTGATGCTCTTAGGGCATTTTGTAAAACTGCCAAATTTCAACAAGTAAATACCCCTTGGAAGAAAGTCAAGTTAAAACATTTGGTCAAAGTATTACTAAAGTATGTATAAAATGTGGTAATTAAAAAGGCTTAATTGGTCCAAAGGACTAATGGACCACAACTACCACAGCCTCCATTAGACTGAGTCCAGCACAACTAGATGGTGCCTGGCTACCACCACTGACTGCTCTGACAGGGATCACAATAGAGGGTCCCAGACAGCTGGAGAAAAATGTACAACAAAATTTTAACTCAAAAAAAAAAAAGACCAGATTTTCTGACAAGAGACTGGAGAAACCCCAAGTGTATGGCCCCGGAAACCCTTTCAACTCAGTACTGAAGGCACTCCTGAGGTTCACATTTCAGCCAAAGATTTGATAGGCCAATAAAACAAAATGAGACTAAATGGGCACACCAGCCCAGGGGAAAGGACGAGAAGGCAGGAGGGGACAGGAAAGCTGGTAATAGGGAACCCAAGGTCAAGAAGGGGAGAGTATTGACACATCGTGGGGTTGGCAACCAATGTTACAAAATAATGTGTATTAATTGTTTAATGAGAAACTAATATGCTCTGTAAATGTTCATCTAAAGCACAATTAAAAAAAAAAGCTTTATTGGAATTTAAACCTTATTTCAACCAACAGGTATTAAGAATATTTTATTTCAACTGTAACTAAAAAATTGGAACATATGGTTTGAGTAGTAATTATGGGAAATATAGGACAGAAAACCTGAACTCAGAATAATCACATAAAACAAGGGATTAACTACGTGCCATGCCTGTAAATAAAAAACATGACTAAGATTGGGTCAAGTAGAGCACGCTTGTATACTCTCCATATACTAGAAGCTCTGATTTAATAAATGATGGGCTGATAAACAACAGAAGATGGTAATATAAGTCCTATTAATAGAGATACTGGTCCCTAGGTAGCAGTTTGCACTTATCTACTAACCTAAAGGTTGGTGGTTTGAACCCACACAGTGGTACCTTGAACACAGGCCTGGTGATCTGCTTCTAAAAGGTCACAGCCATGAAACCCTATGGAGTGCAGTTCTACTGACACACACACAAGGGTCACCATGAGTTAAGATGCAACAAGACAGCAACTGGTTCTGGTTTTTAGTGTCAAATTATCCTTCAGAGCAGCTCTGTCCAAAAGAACTTCCTATAATGTTAAGACTAACTTAAGTTCCATCTTAAGGACCTTCACTGGTTATCTTTTTAGAACTTATCAACTTCTACTGATGAACTTAGGGCTTCTTTTGTTTAATGAGAAACTAATATGCTCTGTAAACGTTCATCTAAAGCACAATTAAAAAAAAAAAAAAGCTTTATTGGAATTTAAACCTTATTTCAACCAACAGGTATTAAGAATATTTCAACTGTAACTAAAAAATTGGAACATATGGTTTGAGTAGTAATTATGGGAAATATAGGACAGAAAACCTGAAGTCAGAATAATCACATAAACAAGAGATTAACTATGTGCCATGCCTGTAAATAAAAAACATGACTATTATCTATTCATTCTATTCTCTGGGTATTTGTCTTTTCCTGAGTAATTTTTCTGTTGACCCTCTAATATTCTCCCCATCATACTCTTTAACATGTTATCCCTGTTTACTGGAAATCTGTCATCATTTCTCAATTTGTTAAAATGGTGGCAAAGGAGGAAGCAAAGTTGGTAATTACGAGGATACTTACACTTAAATGTTTACCTGGGTTTTACTGACTATGCAAAGGCATTTGACTGTGTGGATCACAGCAAATTAGGGATAACTTTGTGAAGAATGGGAATTCCAGAACAACTGTGCTCATGCAGAACCTGTATATCAACGGACAGGCAGCCATTTGAAGAAAACAAGGGAATACTGTGCAGTTTAAAATCAGAAAAGGTGCACATCAGGGTTGTATCCTTTTCACCATAATTATTCAATTTGTATGCTGAACAAAAAATAATCCTAGAAACTGGACTGTATGAAGAACACAGCGTCAGGACTGGAGGAAGACTAACCACCTGTGATAATGCAAATGACAGGACCCTGCTTGCTGAAAGTGAAGAGGGCTTGAAGCACTTACTGATGAAGATCAAAGACACAGCCTTCAGTATGGATTACACCTCAACATAAAGAAAACCAAAATCCTCACAACTGGACCAATAAGCAACATCATGATAAATGAAGAAAAGATTGCAGTTGTCAAGGACTTCATTTTACTTGGATCCACAATCAACACCCATGGAAGCAGCTGTCAAGAAATCAAAGGACGTACTGCATGGGCAAATCCGCTACAACAGACCTCTTTAAAGTGTTAAAAAGCAAAGATGTCAACTGTAAAGACTAAGGTGCACCTGGCCCAAGCCACTGTACTTTCAATAGCTTCATGTATGTGCAAAAACTGGACAGTGAATAAAGAAGACCAAAGAAAAATTGATGCCTTTGAATTATGGTGCTGGCAAAGAATACTGAATATACCATGGACTGCCAGAAGTCTTGTAAGAAGTACAGCCAGAACGCTCCTTAGAAGCGAGGATGGTGAGATTTTCTCTCACATACTTTGAACATGTTCTCAAGAGGGACTAGTCCCTGAAGAAGGACATCCTGCTTGATAAAAGGCTCACTGAAAAAGAGGAAGACCCTCAAAGAGATTGACACAGTGGCTTCAACAATGGGCTCAAACACATCAACAATTGTGAGGATGGCACAGGACCAAGCAGTGCTTCATTTTTTGTACATAGGAGGGTTGCTATGTACCTAACATAACGGCACCTAACCACCACCAATGTACTTTAAAAAAAAGAAAATCCCTCAAGGGCAAATTGAATCTCATGCATATTTTTATCCTAATAGCATTTTTTTTTTTTTAACCTAAGAATTTCAATTTGGTAAGGAGGAGCTTTTAAAAAGCACTAAGAATAAAGAAATACAATTAAATCTCAGATTCTACAGCTTATTGAGTTTCCATTTCAACTTCTTTCTGGCTTAGTTTCCTGCCCTGAAGCCCTTATTACTGTTTCAGGGTAATACTACTCTAGTAGTGCATAAATTTTAGGTCAAGCTTTTCAAATTTTAATAAGTATCTAAATCAATTGGGAACTTTTAAAAAAATTCAGATTCTGACTCAGGTCTGGGGTAGGGACTTGAGCTTCAGCATTTCTAACAAGCTTCCACTCAATGGCCAGCAAAGCCCCTATCAGTCCATGGACCACACTTGGGAATTAGGTAACATATACAGGATAAAGTGACACCAAAATAATTTAACAATGGCATTTATTAACAAATATACATAACACAAACACAGTTCAATATTCAATTACCACGTGTGTCTTACAAATTTTACTTCTACGTAACCAATTATACAAAATATGTACAAATATAGTATATACAAGACTCCCACCTGTTCGTAACCTCTGGACCATGTGTGCTATCTCACATCTGCAAGACAAACCTAAAATGTTAATATTTAAATATTTGAGTATTTAAATCTTCTCATGTTGGGTTTTTTATTTGCAACAATTACCACTAAGTGGCTCAGAGAGATTGGGTTAATGCTAGAAACTTTCAATAAAGTGCAGTTTCAGACAACCTTAGCCATTAGCTTTCTTCATTTACACAGGCAACCACAGTTCATACGGACTTTTTTTCTTATTTACTTTTGGGGATCCTGAAGAAGTCTCTCCGGCAGTGGCTTTAGCTGCTTTCTCAAGTGCTGGCTTTGCTACAGAATTCTGTAAGAGAACAAATTCTTATGTCAAATTCCCAAACACATACATTCAACACTCAGAAATTACATCTAAGATTGAGACTTAAGACTTATCAACCAAATGCAGAGTATGGACCTCGTTCATAACTTGATTCAATTAATCCGTAATACCATAAGAAAACTATTAGGGGAAATCAGACATGCAAAAGGTATGTTATGACAATTAGGTATCATAACAGTTTTGATGTTTTGTTTTTTAAGCCCTTATCTGATTCTGAGATATTCTGAGTTCTGCTTTTAAAATATTTCAATTTAAAAAAGTATAAAGGGAATAGATAGAATGGCAAAATACTGAAAACAATGTGGATTTGAGAGATGGGAGCCCATTATACTGGTCACCTGTAAAAGTGGCACAAAAATATAAATGCTGTATTTTGTAAAATTGTATTTACAGAGAGGTTTAACAGACCCCCAAATGATCACCACAAACACAAAACAATAAGCCTTCCAAAAGAAAAAAAAAGCCTACATTATACTAGTTACGTTCCAAATCTGATTTCTGAACGTCCAATGCTTAGATAGTACTTACTAAATTAGAGCTAAAAGCTATGCTTCTTTGCTGGAAAGATTTTTCACTGGGACTTTTAGTTCCATCTTTGGTTAGCTTTTCAGACAGCTAGACAGGTAAGAAAGTACATTTTTTAAAAGCATGCCCTTGGTTTGAGTACTGTGTAACAAGTAGTATACAAATTCAGTTGCATATAGAAGTTGCCTTTAACTATATAATTATCTGCCTAAATAACAAAGTACTGTTGGGGTTTCCCCTGAAAATTTATTTAAAAGCTTGATTAAGGTATTATTTGCCATACTACAAATAACCTTATCCCCCTACTCCAAATTCAAATAACTTTTAAGAGTAAAGTCATACCAGAAAATACATAGTTTCTAATTTATTTCTTCAACTAACTATGGCATTTGCCTGTTTAGCCACCTAACCATCTGAATAAGCCATTCAACTAAGACCCTATTTGTCTACTAATAGCAAACAAAACCCACATCAGGGTCCCAATTGTAGGCTCATCTAGATAGCTCATCTTGTCTGTGTTCCATGTTAACTGACTCTTCTACATTTTTTTATCCAGACACTTGAAACTTAAATGATTCGTTACCAAAAAAAAACCTAAGCAGTCCCTGAAGTTCAACATAAATCACAAACAAATATGAACATAAATTCCTAACTCCCTTAAACCTTAAGGTTATATATCTGAAGCTTTGAACTTCACACAAATACAGTGTCATATGCCAGTGCATACCCTGCACATTTCTGGAAAATTACAATAAACTCATCTGCAAGTGAATCAGGTCTCTTCTTCAGTAATCTCTCTAAACATCTGGAATATACTACATATATTATGAAGGACCATCTATCTCACAGATGCAACACCGTTACAAAGTGTACCATCGATTAGTTTAAAAACTGTTTTTAGTACCTTATCCAAATAGTACCTGACCCAAATTCTAGCATGCACACAATCTACTAACCAAAAGCTAAGCTTTTATGTGTGAACGTAAACTTCAAATTATTTAAACCTCTGATGCTTTAGCCCATGTATCAATTACCACAGATTTTCTTCATCAATGTCTGGAGACCACATTCAAGATTTCTATAAGACAGAAATAAAGCAGGTAAACTATACTGTATGTTGAGTACAGAATTTGTGGGAACATAATGCTGCAAATGAAAGCTACAGATAAATTATGTGTAAAACCTAGAGTTTACAAGTATCTGTTAATTATATAGATATCAAACCAAGTACCAATTACAATATATTAACAGGGCATAACAGTGATTAGTATTTCGTCAAGCCAAAATAAAGTCCATTATTCTTCCATTTCCATGGGTGAGAGCCTATCTAGTATCTTCAGATCTGTTATTTTTGACATTTAGGTAGCTTGTCCACAACTCACTGCTGAAAACCAGAACTTTCTGCACCCAACAGGAGCTCCTGGACCATGGACTCTCTGGGACAGTCCCAGGCAACATGGGATGGTTGGTCACCAAAATATAAAGTTCGTAACTTCCATTTTCACAGATAACAGCATTTCTAGTATTTTCAGATCTACTATTTTGAAATTAGCAAATTATATTAGTCTTTCTGAGAAATGTAATCTAAAGTAAATCAAATAAAAATGGCTAATCAGATCTTCCTGTTAGTTTTTCCAAGTATTTCCTTTGGATAAACATGGAACACTTACCTCAAACTTCACAGCATTATTTGGTGCAGCTGTTCCACAGTTTGTTTCTTTAGGCACAGTTCTGAGACTAGCTGGCAAGTCAAGGTTGGCTGTTCCTAAAGCTTTTGCTGCATTGGCTTTTGCTATTTCTAACAGCTCCATTCGATCTACAAAACATAAAAAAAATTCACTAGTACCCAAAAGGACTCAAAATCACGAACTAAACATAAGTTTCACTAAAAATATAGACAATTTTATCATTTGTTTTATATAAACTGTAACTATTCATGAAAAAGGAGCCCTGGTTGCGCAGTAGTTTAAGAGCTCGGCTGCTCACCAAGAGATCGACAATTTGAATTCACCAGCCACTCCTCTGAAACCCTGTGGGGCAGTTCTACTCTGTCCTATAGAGTTGCTATGAGTCTGAATTGACTCAAAACAGCAAAAGGTTTTGATTTATGAAACAAGTTTTTACCTCTTTTGCTAAGAAAAATATAACAAGCATCCTTAAATAATGTCAATTAAATTTTCCTTACGAAAGGCCTGAACTTCATACTGTTTTTGCTTTCTCTTCATATTCGTATTTGAGTTTCAGTTTTGTGGTAACAGACTTATTTTAGAAGAGTTTTAAATTTACAGAAAAGTTGTGAATTTAGAGTTCCCTTATCCAGTTTGAGCTCAGGCTGTCAACCAAAAGGTAGGCAGTTCAAATCCACCAGCTCCTCAGAAACTCTATGGGGCCGTTCTACTCTGTCCTATAGGATTGCTGTAAGTCGGAATGGACTTGATAGCAGTGGGTATTAGCAGAAACTGCTTAGTTAGGGCAGATCACTAATTAAAACAGTAAGAAGGCTCCACAAGTAAAGAGAATTTCCTCCACCCACAGCCGTTTATTTAACCCCCACCATGTTCAGCAACAGGTTTTGTTTTGTTTTAAGGTCGCTGTAAGTCAAAATGGACTGGAAGGCAATGGGTTTATTTATTTTTTTAACAGACCTTTAATCCGGAGAAATAAGAACACTGCCTATTCAAAAATAGGCTTTTGATACTACTGTAGTGCTGATCAGCTAATCAGCCAACCAGCCCAAAAATACGTAGATTTCATGCAAAGATAATGAATTAAAATTATATAGCGGCTTCAGTTCCCTAACCTATCCATATACTGTTGCCATGTGTAGAAAAGGCGAAAAAGAAGAACTGTGCGCCTCTCTCAATGGTAACTCACCTTTTTCAGTTAAGCGAAAAGGGGTTCTGCTCCGCGACCGCGTCCTGCATCTCTCCCTCCAACTTCGGTGTTCTTCCGGGTACACCGTGCGGCCAAAGCCGTAGTACCGTCGTCCCCGCGTGAGGGCGTAGGCCCTTCTATAGTAGGACGTCCCTCGAGAGCGAGACCTGCTACGAGATCGGTGGCGCGAAGAAGGACGGTAATAGCTCCCAGAGGACCCGTAGTGCCTTTCTCGGTACCGGCGGCTGCGGGACCGCGAGCGGCTGCGCGAATAAGACCGCGAGTAACGCCTGAAATTCCGCTGGTGGCGCCTCCGGGAGCGAGACCTTGACCTGTCCCTTCTCCGGAGCAGGCTCCGACTGCGGGACGACGACCGACTCGAGACGCTGATGCCGGACCGAGAGCTTCTGGAAGAGGAGCGACTACTGGTCCGCGAAGACGACAGGCGGCTGGAGTGGTCCGTTGTGGGGGGCTCCTTCTCCTGCGGCGAGCCCGGCCACATGTCGTTCACGTAGTTAGACATCTCTGCCTGCGGCTTTAACCACTTCTTCGAGAAGAACCACTTCCCGAAAACTCAGGTTGTTGCTTACAAACAAGGGGGAAAAAAAAAAAGGGTGAAGTGCGGAAGCGGGTCACCGCGCCCAGGTTACAGTCCCCTCCCGGAAGCTACCCGCCCGGCGGCCTCGGGAGGCCGAGCTACGGCGCAGGCGCGGCCAGGCCCTGCGAAAACAAACGAGCCCTAAAACCCCGATGAAGTCTGTGACTCTGCGAAGCCAACTCCAAACGCTTGCCTTCCCACCCGCAACCGGTTCCAGTTTTTGCAACACGCAGGGCCCAGCACTCTTCCTTCCACCCACACCTGGGGTAACTCCGGGACCTACCTCACCACCAGAAAACTTACCACAGGCTGTCGACACCCCACTCAAGACGAAGAGAAAGGCCCAACGAACGCCTCTCTATCAAAGTTTAGGACTAAAAAAAGCCTTAGCCAACCTACTCTAGAACCTTAAACTCGCAACCTCCACCTCCGATGTCTTGACGCGAACTCAGCACACCGCACCCAGACGCGGTCGAAAGTACCAGAAGCAAGAGCTCGGAGCATGCGTAGAGACGTTTACGCGGTGGGCGTGGCTCTCTTCTGGTCCAACCACTGCCCTTCCTCTTTCCGCCTGGCGCCCTTTCCACCTCCCTTAGGGCGAACAGGATACGCATGCGCGAATGAGTCCCCGAGTGCTACTGCACCTGGGTGTTCGGCGGCTAGTAGTTGTTTCGTTTTCTTGAGGGAAACGAGGAGGAAGTGAGGCGACCCCCAGCGTCGCGACACCAGGCTCCTAACCTACCGCACGGGCGGGGTCGGGCGTAAGTGTCTGGCGGGGAGTGGGGGAAGGGGGAGGAACAGCCGCAGTCTAGAGCTCGGACCAGGGACTGTGAGTGTCATATGCTGACAAGGTCGTTGCCTCCACCCTTTGGGACGCTACAAACTCGGGCTGTGTCTCAGTGGCCCCTTCCTGGACACTTTTCCTGTCCTGTGCCTGTGTCCAGCCCGCAACCGGAGAGGGCGACTGCACCCCTCCTCCGAGAGATCACAGGATCCCTGAAAATGCAATATTAACTTTTAAAAAGCTTTTTTACTTCCATATTTTGGCCAAGTAATGGTAAGAAAGGGTGGAGACAGAATTCAAAACAGAGAGGAAAGCGATCAAAGCAGTAATAGCTTTCTTCCTCTGTAACTTAGAAGCTTCAAGTGAACGTTTAATGCTGCTTGTTGTTAGCGCCTTTGGTTGTGGATCAGACTGTTGTAATCCATAAGGTATTTTATTGGCTGATTTTCGGGAGTTTGTACCACTCAGGGACTCCTAATGCTGCTTAGGGTGGTAAATTATTGGTTACTACCACCACCGTCTGTTGCCATCAAGTCGACTCCAAGTGTGTCAGAGTAGAATTGTTAGTCACAAATTAACACTAGTTCTAGTTCCACTAGAACTGCCATCCTCAATGAGGATGGATTTTTAACAGTGGATTCAGATATACCAACAATCATGAAGATGGCACAGGACTGGGCAACATTTCATTCTGTTATACATAAGGTCACCATGAGTCAGAGCCAAAACGACAGCAATTAAGAAATGCCAGCCACTAGTAAAAAGGGTTCCTCCAACCTGAGCCATTTAACACCCATAAAACCAGTTGCCATTGCATCAGATCTGATTCATCGCAACCCCTGTCTGTCAGAGTATTCAGGGCTGTGACCTTTGAAAAGCAGATCGGCAGGCTTCTCTTCCAAGGCACCACCTTCAAAGGAACCACTAAACTTTCAGCTAGTAGTCAAGTGCTTAACTGTTTGTGCCACTCAGGGACTCCTTAACACCCATAGTTGATCTTTGATTAGTAAGAATGATGTCTGAGATGTCTATTCCTCGGAAAGAGTGCTTTGTTGTTGTTGTTAGGTGCCGTCGAGTCAGTTCCAACTCATAGGGACCCATGTACAACAGAACAAGACACTGCCCGGTCCTGCGCTATTCTCACAATCGTTATGCCTGACTCATTCTTGCAGCCACTGTGGCACCATTCTCACAATCGTTTTGCTTGACCCATTCTTGCGGCCACTGTGTCAGTCCATCTTGTTAACAGTCTTCCTCGTTTTCTCTGTCTGCTTTACCAAGCATGATGTCCTTCTCCAGGGACTGGTGCCTCCTGATAACATGCCCAAAGTATGTGAAACGAAGTCTCGCCATCCTTGCATCTAAGGAGCATTCTGGCTGTACTTCTTCCGAGACAGATTTGTTCGTTCTTCTGGCAGTCCGTGGTATATTTAGTATTCTTCTCCAACACCATAATTCAAAGGCATCAATTCTTCTTTGGTCTTCCTTATTCATTATCCACCTTTCACATGCATATGAGGCAACTGAAAATACCAGGGCTTAGGTCGGGCACACCAAGAGGCAGTCGTTAGAACAGAACAAGGGGATACTGCGTGGTTTAAAATAAGGAAAGGCGTCTGTCAGGGTTGTATCCTTTCACCATACTTATCCATGAGGAGCTGGACTGTATGAAGAACATGACATCAGGATCGAAGGAAGACTTATAACAACCTGCAGATGACACAACCTTGCTTGGTGAAAGCGAAGAGGACTTGATGTACTTACTAATGAAGATCAAAGACTACAGCCTTCAGTACGGATTTACCCTTGAACATAAAACAAAAATCCTCGCAACTGGTCCACTAAGCAACATCATGATAAATGGAGAAAATATTGAAGCTGTCAAAGGATTTCATGGTACTTGGATCCTCAACACCCATGGAGGCAGCAGTTAAGAAAAAACAATGCATTGCACTGGGCAAATCTGAAAGTCTGAAGTACTGAAAATGAAAATGTCACTTCGAGGACTAAAGTGTGCCTGATCCAAGCCATGGTGTTTTCCATCACTTCGTATGCTTGTGAAAGATGGATAATGAATAAGACTGGAGAAGAACTGATGTCTTTGAATTATGGTGTTGGCAAAGAATACTGAATATACCATGGACTGCCAGAAGAACAAAGAAGTCTGTCTTAGAAGAAGTACAGCCAGAGTGCTCCTTGAAAGTGAGGATGGGGAGACTTTGTCTCATGTAGTTTGGACATGTTATCAGGAGGGGCCGGTCCCCAGAGAAAGACATCATGCTTGGGAAGGTAGAGGGCCAACGAAAAAGAGGAAGACCCTTGACTAGATGGATTAACACAGTTGGCCACAACAACGGGCTCAACCACAGCTCTACCCTGAAAATTATATATTCTAAAATGTCTTCCAATAATTTTAATTTTTAGGTTTTACATTTAGATCTTTACTCCACCTAGAATATGAGCTTTTCCCCCCTCCATTTATGTCAGCATCATTTAATAAAATTTTTTTCCATTAAATCAAAACATCTTGTCAAAGGTTAAAGTTCCATATACATAAGCTGTTTTGTGCCATTTATCTGTTCTTCTGCCATCAATGCTTTCTTTACAATCACTTTGTGGTGAGTCATTTATTAAGGAGTTTGAATTGGAAATACCGGGTACAAACATGATAGCTTTAATTTTTCCTGGGACTACCCTCAAAGTTCCCTATGCTGAACTTGGTTTTTTCTTAAGAGTGGGTCCTTTAATCACATCTTGACCATTTATTACAACCTCTTAGTCACTCTTGGTTATTAGAATAGATTCATCTTTGGTTTTTAAAACTCCATCTTATTCTAAACTTCAATATTAAACTCAATTCAGATCTCATTCTTCCTCACCCCCATGCAAACTAGACCTGTCTGTGGCTCAAGGGACTTATGGTAGAGTGGGTTATGGGGTTCATTCTTTACACAGTTCAGTCTCTCTTTGAATGTCCACTCCTCCCTTCAGATTCTATATTCTCATGGAGCCATTCTTGCTCACATGACTGGCTGCTTATTGGTGGTAAGGTAGTTGATTGGCTTCACTGTAATTAATTCTCATTATCTGAAACTGCTGGTTTTTGCTGATGGTCTCGTGTACATAGCGCAGGGTGTTGTTATGTTGATGAGGCCATATTAGTGTAGGGTGTGTTAAGCCTATCACTTGAGATATAAAAGGAGCAGATTAGACACTGAGAAGGAAGAAGGTAGATGCTACATGGAGCTCACCAAGGCATGAAGAAACAGAAACTGAAAGAGACTAAGATCTTCCCCTAGAGCCTACAGAGGGAGAGCCTTTCCCTATAGCCTGTGCCCTGAATTAGGACTTCTAACCTCCTAAAATGTGAGAAAATAAATTGCTGTTTGTTAAAGCCACCCATTGGCAGTATTTCTGTTATAGCAGCACCAACAGACAACCTCCCTCTGTCCCACTCTAGCCCCTCATTCATCTTTCAAATCTTTCTTTTCTCAAGAAAGCCTTCCTGATCCCTCAGACCAGGTCATTTCCCATATTATATGTTATCCTAGTTTCCTGCGCTTCTTATTTTTAGCACTTACCACAATTGTAATATTTAATGTTTTAGTTCATTTTGTAGTGTTTTTCCTGCCAGAATATAAATTACATGAGGACAGGAACTTGTTCTTGTTTCTTAGTTTCCCCAGCATTCCAGACGGCATTGCATATGGTAGGCACTCAGTTGGTTTTACTGAATGAACAAATCAAACCGAATCTGAACTAGGTCTTAAAGGACAGACAAAAGGAAAAGGAAGGGAAAATTTTAGAGAGGAACAAAGGTCTTGGCAACATCTTGGAAATAGAAACGCCCATTTTATAATATGGATAAATACCAAGGAGCATGACTGCTGGATGTATGAACTTATTAACAGTTGTTAACTGAAAATTCTTTAAACTTGATTTTGTTAAAATAAGGACTTCAGCACATCCTACTTCAGTTTTTCTGATCCAGTAATTAGAATCAACAAAGATTTTATTTTACTGCCTTTATTTCTGTTGATGATAATGTTGCTGAAAACAGAGAGGATGCAAAACTGACAACTCGTTTTGAATCTGTTCATATAATTTTCAGAAAAGGGAGACTAGAAGTAAACAGTGGCTTCTTTAAGGATCTGGTATCCATTCATTTATTCATTCAACAAGCATTTTCTCAATATCTCCTTTTTTCACCAGTTACAAGAAAGACAAAACTAAATAAAACATGATTCTTCTTTGAAGTACATCACAGGCATCTGGAATGTTACACAGTTTTCACACTCGTTTGACTGCAGGACATGCAGACAGTGCGTGGCAGTGTTTAAATGCTCTTCTGAATGCTAATGCCACAGCCCTGTGCATTGATTACAAATGCGTCCCAAGATTATATATTTCTTTTTTGCTACGTGTCACCCTTTGCCAAAGACAATATGGAACATAAATAAGCAGTTTTCCGATGCAGTTCTTATTAGTATGTAAGTTGTCAAAATGAACTCCATTGCTTAAGAAAACCACAAACACAATTATAATCACTGAATATAACTGTATATAGGTTGTTACTGTGGGGAATAATACTTTGTCCGAAGTATTTCCTTTGAAAATTCTGACCCACTGAAGTTCTCTTTGTTTGCATAATAATAAAAAAAAAAAAGAATAATAAACCACTATCAAATTACCTTGGTTTCACTTATACAAATGT